AATGACTCACCAGTACAAAAGATATAGCTACACCTGCTAGTATAAAAGTTATTGCTGGAAAATATTTCTGATCGATGAGACAATGGCCCAATTCAAAAAGAGTAAACATAATTGGTACACAGACAAAATGCCAATAAATAAGAGCACTTATTTCACGAGATGATGCACCAACAATTTGATCAATGTTATACTGAATAATGTTAGCCTTGAAGCTACCATAACCTGCAACTTCAAGTACATAGGTAATACCATAAGCTGTCCACAGAATGACACTAGAAGGATAGAAATTATTCACAACATAACCACAACCTACAAAGATCATTGATAGGAAACAGAGAACAATACCAATGATTATTGTTCTGTGTCTTCCAATCTTGACATCTGCTAACAATCCATAAAATGGAAAACTTATAAAAACAAAACAATACAAAATATCAAACCCAATCCATCCATTATTAACTGTTGAAGCCTCTGTTGATGTGATAGTTGAAGGTACAAAGTATCTCAGAAGGAGGATGTGAAAATATAATAGACAATCCCAAGTAAGAACCATAACAGCCCATCGAGAAAAGACCATTTTATGTTTTAAGACTAAGCATATGGATAGGATGACACTGCTAAAAAGGAAGATTGTACTGCAAGCTGAATAAACATGTTCAGAATGGGAAAACATTGCTTTATTCAACCGTAAAATTTTCTTTCATTATTCTACACTTTCAATAGATGTAGATCATAAACTTGTAGCTTAATAAATTAAAATAAAACATTAGACAGCCAATGGATGTACTTTCCTTTTTCAATTGTTGATTATTAAAGCTGCAAGTTCATGTACAATACATTATACTACCACTTATCCCTTTCATAATTAGAGTACATCAGTTCAAGTACTCCAACCATTTATGCTATAGCTTGCAGAGAAGCACTATATTTCCAGCACCGCATTTAAACTCACTTGTACATTGCAAAATTTGTCCATATAGGAAAAATGTAACAACTTGTAATAAACTACTTAGGTTACATTTTAGAGTTTAAAACTAATATTTACTAATATAAAAACAGAAAAGTATCTAACACTAATATGTAGCTCTGACAGAAACAAATCAATAATACATGATGTAAAGTGTAATAGTAGTCAATGTGAAAATTCCACGTTATGTTCTTCTTCCTGTTCTATGTATCTTTGATAGTGATCATCAACAATAAGGTGGACATTAACTTCATTCTCTCTTACACGGTACTTGTAATTTTTTGCCAGTATTACAAACAATATCAGTATAGCAAAAACTACAGCACTTTTAGTCAGGTAGTAATAGGGAGCAGTACACAAATACTCATTGTGACAATGAAATAGATACTTGATATTAATATTGAAAAGATATCCACATCCCAATGAAGCGAACCACATTCCAACCATGACTCCTCTCATATTTACTGGAGACTGTGCTATTGTAAATTCTAATGATGCTGGAAAAAGTGTGGCAAATGTGAATCCAAAAAATATTTGTGGAAGGAGCATCATTTTGCTTGAAAAAGGCTTTGAAGCTTCTGTATAGTTTTGAAAGAAGTGCAGTATAGAAAATTTACTTGTTAGTGTCAATATTGTAAACATTTGTCCAAAAGTAATCAACTTGAGGATACCAGGAATGTATTTATAGCAGCATACTTTGATTACTAACAAGTGGAACAGAAGCAGGAGCCCTGAAATAAGGAATTTAAAAAATTGAGTTGACAATAGACAGTCTGTAACTGATAAATCTTCAAGTTTAATTGTTCCTGTAAATATCCAGTGATATACTTCATCTGTTGCAGCCAAACTAAATACAGCAATGAATAATGGAAGCATACGGAAAACTGTTTTGACATCTTCTACCTCTTCCTCTGTGAATGGTCCACCATACTTATCCTTACCCAGGTCTAGTCTTGAAGGAGCCTCTTCCTCCCAGTAGGTCAGAGCACTACGATTC